ATTTATATTATTGGATAAATTAGAGCTGGGAGTTTGTGGCCGCGAAGTAGCCTTGATACGTTTCACTCTACCTTGGGCTTGTGTAAAGTTCTGTGCTATTCTCGATGCTTTGATCCATTCGTCGTATCTTGTGTTCCAACCGGTATAATGAACAAGATACATCGGTTCCGTGCCATCTTTCTCCATGTCGATGACTTTTGCTTCGTAAGTGACTTTGGATTCGTGAGTAGGTCCGTAGTACACTTTCAATCTATCTCCTAATTCCACAGGGCCCTTGTAGCATGGCGCAGATTCTGCCAACTGTTCATCGGACCGCGATTTCTCTGTCTCGTATTCCTTGCGTTTTCTTCCTCGTTTCTTCAATTCCTCATCCGTCAAACGTCTCTGTTTAGTTAGAACCTTTCGTTCAGATTCTCTGGATGGAGTTCGAGTTTCCCTAGTTTCGGAAGATGTTTTACTTTTTACAGTGTCGTCTTTAGATTTAGATCTCGTTTTAGCGGCTTCTTCCTCTTTCGTTTTATCATCCTTTTTCTCCTGCTTCTTAGGCTCATTTTTCTTCTTATCTACAACTTTCTTCTTCGGATCTTCTTTACTTTTAGATTTACCCCTATTTTGCAGCGCTAAAGACGTCGATATTTTTTGAGATTTTTCGCTGCTAGACGATTCCGCCTCACCCTCTATATTCACGTCGCTTTCTTGGCCGCTACCGCACTCTTCAAACTCATCCTTTTTCTTAATTTTTACAATTTCTTCTTCTTTCACCGGTTCTTTTTTGACTTCCTTCTTCTCCTTCTTCTCATCCTCCGTGACTTTTTTCTCCTCTTCTTCCTTCTCATTTTTAACGACGGACACTTGCGGCGGAACAGGCGTATTTCTGTCTTTATCTCTAATCAGACTTCTACCAGGACGTTGTTTACGTATAGAACCCCTCGGATGGTTCACCATAGTACAACCTAATTTTCTATAAAAATCTTCGAAGGAGTGTAAGAATTTCTTGTAGGCCTGTTTAACCAAATTGTGCGTAGAAGGCGAGTTCTGCATAGTGAAACTCAAACGACGCGTTATCAACTTCCATTGATTTTGATTCGTGACACGATTGTAACCGCCTAATTTATAAACGGCTCGAAACAATCTATACAAATCTATGTCCTCGGATCCAATCATCGGACAATTATTGATAGGTGTTCCGCGATCGTCCATGAATTTGTATAGTTGTGCCACAAAGTGATCCTTTTCTTCGCGTGGTTCATCGTCTGAACTCTGAAAAGGGAAAAGCGTTACGATTATGAATTACTCGTGTAGTCAATTTATTTACAATGGTGTCCGCAAAGAGGATCTTACATCCGAATCGAGTTCTCCATCGGAATCACTATTCCCACTCGATACAGAATGTCCAAAAAGAGAATCCCTATCCCAATGAGGAGGCAACTCATTCTTTTCTAAAAATAGCAGTGCCTTTTCAACTGCAATCTTCAACGTGCTATTCTCAACTTTGTTGACAAGTTCCTTCGTGAATTCGGTGGCCTCTTTCTTTGGAACTGTATAACTGAACATTTAAATTAAGCTGTAGTAATACAACAGAAAATAATTAAAGAAACAGTAAAAAAAGTAATCTTTATTTGTACAAGTTAGATTGAGACCAGAAGTGTTCAAAAAATATTCAAAATGATTAATACAATTTTTGCAGTTTTAAATTTATTTGAATGAAACGTGAACTTACTATCGCGCATCCTTAAACGAACGTACGAGGTAGTCGTCTCGCACGCGGATTCTCACAGTGTCCTGAGCAGTTGGTGCGACCACTAACCCAGGGAACCAGTTATCTTTTTTCTTTTTATCTCCAAGTTCCACGCAAACAACCCGTCCGATTTCGGGTTCCGTCTCCATCCCTTCTTTCCCAGTTCCACTGGAACCTGAGTCGCGAGCGCCTCGCGGAGGGCTGTCCTCGTCATCGCTACTCTCATCTCTACGATATCAATTATTCTTTTAATTACCGAGACAAGTTATTTTAGGGAATTATACCGCGAATACGATTTCGCGATGCTCACTGTGCTTGTCTAGAACGCCGTCCTCTTCTGCCTCCTATTACAGGATTCCCAAAATGTTCCGGATGGGTCAAAGGAAGCTGGTCCAAAGTTTCGCTCTCCGCGAAATGCCGTCCGCTCTTCAAACAAAGAGCAGTCCTCCTCAACGTCGTGATATCTCCATCATCAAAGACTACAGTGTACTGACTACAATCTTGGATTTTGGTAATGGTTGCTTCCACGAAATCTTTCCTATCCCCGTGTCTGGCTTCAATAGATGCACCTACTCTCAAAGTTCCTTTTATCTGATCATCTGCTACAGTCGCAGTCCCCAAACCTTGCTTATAAGTCACCCTGCATTTTACAGATCGTACCACTTTCCGAATTTTTGCTTCACAGAAGGCACCCTTGTATTTAGCGCTTACCTCCGTACCCACTGATAGGTACGGTGGATCGTCTCCCTGTAACAATGAAGGTATGTATGTATTTATACACAATATACAAATTTTTCTTTATGACATACTTTCATGGTGTCATTGCATACTCATGTTTTTCTCACACAAAAAATATATGCAGGAGGAAATCTAAATGTCCTGCATATTAATACACAATATTAATGAAACTTTAAGGCAATTACATTTATCTGTTTTATCATAATCCAGCTGTTTGCTACTTTGATACATCCACTAATCTGATCTAATGTGTATAACATGTATTGCTTTTGATATAAAAATAATTTTTTCTATATACATACACTTTTTTTACAAAGAAAGAAATAAATACAAAGGAGGTTCCAATACTCTATATATAATTTCACATTATTAATAAGAGTTTAAGATATTGTGTTCTTTTTTATTTGATCTCTTATGGCTTCATTATAATCTGTCATATTATTATTCGGCTTTGCTATGGACATTATCGAGAAAAATAAAGCGTCACAAAGGCCATAAAAATGCCAGATGCCCTTCTACAATGAACTATTGTTTATGTAGGCGGTCTTGCCTCGCAGATATAGAAAATCGTTTCGGAATCGAAGAGTTCCACGATGCACGAGGAACTGTAAAAATGTGTGTTTCGTTGAAATAAAACTCATACTTTGACATCTTAACCACATTTTCAAAACGAAGTCCGCTACGTTCATGACAGCCTGTCGAATTTCTCAGACATCGGGCAATATTCGTAACCTCGAAGGTACATTAGGCGAGACATTCGTCCGAAGAAATTCACCTGCGAAAGCGTTGCAACCAGATAACAAAAGCACGGATTTTACTTTCTCGATGCACACGATAGGGAGAGAAAGAGAGTGGTGAAGAGAGAAAAAAAAAAGAAAAAAGAAGACAACTCAAGTATACAATCTTTGCGCACTTGTTTCTACGTCAACTTTTCTCCCGCCTGTTTGCTTACCAGCATCTTCTAGCGCTCCACGATCTCCATACAGATAATCTTGAGACACTGGCACGTTCGAGACATGAAAATCGTATTTCTATTATTTCGTCGAGAGTAATAACAGGAAAAAGATCACGGAGACACCATAAGTTGACCCCCTTCGCGGAACCAACACTTCACGGTCCGAATGCGTACAAGCTCCTGTTCCCTGCCCATTTCCACCCCGACGCAACTTGTCAGCTAGCCACTCGACTCCTATTGGATGATGTCTTTGCACTCTCTGAAAACAACCGAGCGAAGATACGAAATTAAAGATATCGCCCTGTCCTTCGATTATCGATGATTCCTACGTACGTGTGATCGGGCGATCGAGACATGATTTTTCCTGACGATTTTTTTATAAATAAATATCTGTTTCGCGTGAAAATTAAATTGTTAGGGCGATTCCACTGCGCATACGACAGGGACGTACCAATATGTTATCGGTGTTGGGACATGGGGGCCGTTCTCCCTCTTAGAGTACGCGATTTTCGCGCATGCGTGATCAGGAACGACGACATATGGTTAACGTAATGGAGGCCAAAGCCTGAGGGGCCCCTCGAGAAAACAGTTGAAAACAGTCGCATTTTTCTTCGAAGGATATTCCTAGATAACATTTAACAATTCAAACTTCGATTGAATACATGAGTATATGCGTTGTAAATTTTAGATGTTTTTCTTGTACTTTTAACAAATATTAAAGTTCTTTACAAATCTCAAATGAAATTAGTATGTTGAGTTACATAATCCCAACGTTCTATTTGAACAATTACGACGATATTATTCCCCCCTTTAACTGCTTCATTTATCTGTCAAAAATCACGTACATAAATCAGTTAAACAGGGAACTTACAATACCCATTTTTATTTAATTAAAACACTTTCCTGGTGTCACTTTTGATGCACATGCGCGAAAATTGCGGCAAATCTGATTGCACTGATCGGAGAGAAGTGCAGGTACTTGTTTCAGTACTTGTGGTCTCGATACTAGAAACAAACAGTACATTTTCATTGTTAAATTAACTGTGTACGCATCGCGTAGCTGTTAAAAAAAAAAAAAAAAAAAGAAGAAGACAAAAGAACCAAAAAAAAGAACAATTTACATGAGCACTCGTCTATGAAACAAACGTTATTTAAAAATCAATATTTTTGTAGAATACGTGCTTTACAAAGCATTACATAATTTCTGTACTGTAAAAAAATTGGCTGCAATTTTCGAACATTAGGAATGAATATTAAACAACCGTTACGAAAAGAATTTTAATAATTTGTATATGAATGAGGAACGATTTCAAGTCGAATTTTTATGCTTAATACATTGTTGATTGTATTAAACGTATACGTTGTTTTTGTTACTCAATTAAAAGTAATGTCGTTTGTTTATATATATAAACAGTTATCTAAATGAGATTCAAAAATTTAAACGAAATTTATAAATTTCAATTACCTGTACAGAATTGTCACTAGCACATCAATTTTCAACTACATGTTCTAACGATAACAATTAATTCTGTAACGAGATCAATATAGTTAATAAATGGATTCATACGGACTCTTCGCTAGAATATGGGAAACAAATTTGACAAAGGAATTTAATCGAATTCTCGATGGTTAATGGAATGTTTGTTGACAGAATCGTATTTATAATTTGCCATGTGCCTTCGTACGGTCCTGCTTATGGTCGTCTGCTGTGACGCGGAACAAAATGGCGTCGAGTAATGAAGTGCCGGTAGAAATCAACCAAAGTAGCATGTGCACAGCGGAAAATTCGGTAAGTTTGATGAAATTATTTTAATTAAAGTAGAGAAGGAACGTCGTGATGGTGTCGTGAATGAATCGATATTATCATAACGAGTCCATGATATCTTCCAAACTTATGAACGAGGAAATTGTTAAAATGTCGTTTGTCATAATAGTTCTCCCTGTGACTAAGGGATCTTAACAACAGATTGATCCGATCGTTCTTCGTTCGTCGACATTTCCCTACCGTCTCTCGTTAAAATAATTACCAATTGTCGTAAGTTATTTCGTAACGTTATCACTTAAAAAATCGAGCTATATCCAATTCCGTGTACGTATTGCTCGTCACACGACGATACGGAAATATGTGTGAGTGTAAAGAATCCCGACTGGTCATTCGATCTCAAACAGACGCCATTCGTTTTGGCGGGCACGTGTACGTTTCTCCGGTGTCGGCGTAAAAGACCATTTTCCACGTACATTCCGAATTTTTCAATTTTCCATTGCTGATGAACAACATTGTAAATAATGTTTAGTAACAATTCTTATTACATTTAGATGAAAAGAGAATTATATGTCTCTTTAATTCAAGATAATACTTATACATCACGTGTTTGTAGATAACTGTAGGTTCTTTTCACGCATATGTAAAAACCATTATTTATAACATCTCATAATTGATTTCTAAACAATCTTCCTACGTATCTTTGAATTTAAATACGCGACAGCGATAGAACAGTTTGAACTAATTTTAATTTGAAAATTTTAGCATAGAACCTACTTTGTAGTACTTCCACGCGTTTAAATTAACTATTTCTATATTAATTACTTTCGTTTCTTTTTTATATCGTTACAGACATCAAAGATGGAGTCCATGGAAGTATCAGAGACTGTTCCTGCGTCAAATAAAGATGCAACACCTTCCTCTTGTAAGGAATCTGTTTCTGTGGATGATATGACGTCACGAGACTATTACTTTGACTCATATGCCCATTATGGAATACACGAAGAAATGCTAAAGGACGAAGTGCGTACTGTGACATATCGTAATTCCATGTATCACAATAAACACCTGTTCAAAGGGAAAACTGTTCTCGACATTGGTTGTGGAACTGGTATACTTTCAATGTTTGCTGCCAAAGCTGGAGCAGCGAAAGTTATTGGTATTGAATGTTCTAATATTGTTGAATATGCAGAAAAAATTGTAGAAGCCAATCAATTGTCGAACATCATAACAATACTTAAAGGGAAAGTCGAAGAAGTTTCATTGCCAGATGGTGTAGAAAAGGTTGACATAATTATTTCTGAATGGATGGGATATTGTTTGTTTTACGAATCTATGTTAGATACAGTACTCTTTGCTAGAGACAAATGGCTCCGTGAAGACGGAATGTTGTTCCCTGACAAAGCAACTTTATTTATTTGTGGTATAGAAGACAGACAATACAAGGATGAGAAGATAAATTGGTGGGACGATGTATACGGATTTGATATGAGTAGTATAAGGAAAGTAGCGATTAGCGAACCTTTAGTGGATGTTGTGGACCCCAAGCAAGTTGTTACAAATGCATGTCTAATCAAGGAAGTTGATTTATACACAGTGACTAAGGCTGATTTGGAGTTCTCCTCGCCGTTCACCCTACAAGTTCGTAGGAACGACTATGTTCAAGCATTAGTTACATTCTTTAACATCGAATTCACCAAGTGCCATAAACGCATTGGCTTTAGTACAGCACCGGAAGTACAGTATACTCATTGGAAACAGACAGTGTTCTACTTTGACGAATATATGACAGTCAAGAAAGGAGAAGAAATATACGGTGTCTTTTCAATGAAACCAAACGCGAGAAACTACAGAGATCTGGATTTCAGTATTGAACTGGACTTTAAAGGGGAATTGTGCCAAGTACACGAAACTAATACCTATCGTATGCGCTGATATCTATCAGATGATTCATCTTCTTCCTTTTATTTTCATGGATCATAACACTGTGTAATCAAATAGAAGACCAGGACTTTTAATTATTATTGAATTATATTAGATAATTTAATAATGTTTATCAGTATGGTACAACGGATGTTACGAATTATGCGAATTAATTTTATTCTTTAATTCTAAAAAACTTAGAAGGCTTCCCATTTGAGAATCGATAGAATATTCCGAATCTTCGTTAATCTCGTTTAAGTTTTGTAATACATCATACACTAAAAGAATAAGATCGATACACAACTTAACTACATATATTAATTTTACTTTTTTTTCTCCTTATGTTGTGTATAAGTTGCACATGTAAACTGCTAAATCGATAGCGATTATTATTCAGAGAAAATTTATCAATTCAGAAAATACATCTTATTCATCACATTTTTGTACTGTATTTTTAAAACTAAGTTTTTGTTCACGGCATATACTATATATGTACCACCGTACTTCTGAGAATATTTTGAAACTGCTCATTTACATTATGTATGGCATGTGGAAATGTTTAATATTATATTTTGTTAATTTGGTAGTAAATTGAAACTTATTTTTAGTACCACTTACTTTATCAGCACCTTTCTGAAAACGTGCTCGATATCAGTGATATGTATCATCTGCTGACTTTTTATTAAGAAAATACTGATATTAACTTAATTTTTATACATTACATTTAAGTTACTAATATCGTTGTTACAACATATTCAACCATTTTTATAACCTTCTTATAAAACGTAATGGGTTTCTAACATATGCTTCGTTAATATCCAGTAAAATAATTTGCACGTAAATTTACATCTTAACATTGTTTCGAATTGCGTTATCAAATCTGTTTATAGTAAATGTAAATGTGTACTATATTTTTCTAAATTGGCAAATTACAATAACGGTGAAAATGATTAAATTTATTACGAAAATTCGATGAGTTTTAAATATGAATATATGTTCCGTATTTGCATAGACAACGATCTGTTCTTTGAAGCATATAAATTTTACTTTGTATCGTATTCTAAATAAGCAATTGTGTTTGTTTTGAGTATGGATGTAAATAAAAACATTACGTAGATAATATTAAATAAAATCTTTGGTTTAGTTTAGTTCCAACTAGCAATTAATTTTACAATATTAAATTTATATTGTAAAATTTATTTTCCATACAGTCATTAAGATACAGTATTTTAATATTTTCATTTCTTTTTTTAATTTAATAGTAATACTTCGATTGCAAGACAGTTCAATTAATGAAAATATTCGTTAAGTTAAAAAAAAAAAACAAAATATAAACTTATATATGCGTGAAATACATTTAAAAAGGAAGGTACTCCATCGCAACACTGTAGAGATAAACTGCAGAATTTAGTATAACAGAGAGAAATATGCTTTAATCAAAGAGTGGTATGTAATATTTCGAAATATGTTACCAAATTTTAGGGCAAATAATTGTCTGATATCAATTTATATTAGGAATAACGAAATCAAAAAAAAAAAAAGTAATAACATGAAAACGATTTGATACAATGAATTTTATACTTAGTTACCGTCTGTATATATCAATTTCTCTTAAAGTAAGAAGACCGTTCATTGAAAAAAAAAACTGCAATTCTTTATGACCACCTTATATAACAATAAAATTAATACGTTTGCTACAAATATATATAATGTTTATTAAATAATTATGAAAAGAAAGAAAATTTAATTATCTTTCTTCTCATATATAATCAAACCCTTAAAAAATTAAAGACATTGCTACCCTTCAAGTATTTATCATTAGCTACAAAGCACTTTTTAGTGACATTTTGTACAACTGACCAGGTAATGGAGCATTATTATTAGACCTGAAACAACACTCACTTGTTAAGCCTCTGTTATGCAATGCTATCGCTGGACTGTACATTTAGTTACTCCATTCTGCATAATACACTTCACATGCTAACGAGTAATACACGAGTATTGCTACAAAGAGTAAGAAAGTATCATGTAGCTAAACCTTTCAAGCAATTTGCTAACTTTTGTGTTTTGTAATCGGTTCTCAATTGTATAAAATTCAACAAAACATTTCGATCCAATGTTGCCTGTAACAATAAACATTCATGAATAAACAACCGTCTTATAATTAAGTTAAAAAGTTACGAATTATGTTAAAAATAATTAAGATATTTTTAACATGTAACATACCAATTGATCGCCCGTACACACTTGTTTCAAGTTTTCTGGTTTAACCAATAACAAGTTACACAGAGCATGTAAAGTATCGAACAGAGAAGTAACACGATCGATTTCGAGTTCCTTGACGCATTTACGATACTCGTTCATATCGCATATCGCACACATCGCGCCAGCAGAATTAAATTGAAATTGCTGGAGATGATCGTAAATAGTTTTATAGAATCGGATACCGAGTTCCGTAAGAACATTATTTAAATTTTTTCCGTCCAATGTATTTCGAATGTGTCGAATCATTCCAGTGACATACTGAACTACCGTCAAACAAGCTGGAGTATTCAAAGTATCGACATCAGTTTCTGGTTTAAAGTCAGTCTTACGTTGTTCATTTTGTAGGTATACTTTTACCCAACCAACAATAGCGTTTATACTTCTGTCTAACCCCGTTTCTAGTTTCGTATCGACTTGATCTAACACAACTTTCTTTTTCAACATACATTCTCCATGCTTCGGTGTCGATCTGAAAAGAAAAAAAATATGTTTGAAATCGATGTCTTCCTACTGTTATCGTCATAAAATAGGCAAAACTGTATTTTACGTGATAAGGGGTATAAGACTGTCGTTAAACTGTTCGTCTAGAAGGCGTACAATTGCATTGCATTGGCGTACAACATTGAAAAAGTGTATTTCAGGTTGTGTTCGACTTTCAGGAATTGGTACACTTTGTAAACCTAATTCTAACGCGTAATCAACGTGCTCGCTTATTAAGTATTGCAATAAAATTTCCAGAATTTGAAGCGCATTTATTGGTATTTCTTCAGCTTTCGATAACAACTGGCATCTTTGAAACGCCAGTTTACTTCTTTGTAATAAAGCGATCGCAAGTTCTTCGGATAGAAACGTCTCTCCGCCATAATTCTCTATTTGAGCAATATTTATATTAGTTCTTGCACCTAGAACCGCTTGCAAATCTCTCCGCAATTCTTGGAAGCCACCAGTTTGCAGTTGTTTCTTTTGATGATTTTTAGATTCGTAATACTCAATAAGAAGAGCTGCCGACTTTTCTCGTAATGCTTTTGTTTCGATGCTGGAACAAAAATTCCGATGTGCTATACCTATGTATAATATAATAAGCACATTAATTATTACATACACTTACGTGATATAAGTATCCAAATATTTTTGAAAAATGTTTCTAGTGAGTTTCACGAGATACATGCCATCGGTACCCATATTGAATACTTTCAATTCACTCGATAATTTTACGGTTCTCGTGTACAAGTCATACAAGTTCCTGAGGTACTTATCAGGGTCAGTTTTGTCTGCCAATTTAGCAACAGCGTATTTTTGAAGTCTCAGATGATAGATATTCAACACAAATTTTGCCATCACTTGTTCAGGATTTGTAAATACTTGTTGCATTAATTTATGGTACTTTGTACACATAGGTATCACATCCTGAAAAACGTCTTTTCCACCAAAGGAACCCATCTGACTCTGTTCTATAAATGCATCTATGCACTGAGAATATCCTTTGAAGTGAGCTAAGACAGATGCTAATTCTCTCATACGATTAGCATCTTCTCTATTATGTGCTCTAACAAATTCTTCTATAAGATTTCTTTCAATTTCGTCATATTTAACAGCAATCTTTTTCTTTGCATGTTCGAATTTCTCTGAAGGTAATTCTTGAGAAATTAGGTGTAGTTTTTGAATCACATCTGCTGCTTCATCTAGCTGTTATAAAATAAAAAATCTTAATGTACATGACATATAAAATACACTATAAATATCTATAGAACAAAGATTTGTACCGATGACTTATCTGTGAAGATTGGATCTGTTAATGGTCCAGGGCTTAAAAAATCTGAGAAATGTCTCATCAATTTCTGAGCTTCAACAGCCCTAGCTCTCGGAGTGTTAACGCTTTCCAACTGATCTCCCAAATGCAAAACTTTAGTAGCAACAAGATTTATTCTCTCATCCAGTTGATGAAACAAATCGATAGAATGTTTATTTCTCTCTTGTAACTCAAGAATTTCAAGTGTGTGTCTAGCCTCTTCATCTTTTAATGCCGCTTCAAGCTTATCACATTTTTTCTGTTGGCGTTCTTGTAGAATCTGTAGATCTTTTATAGCTTGTAGAAACGTTTCATGCACTATCATGGGATCGAAAAACGTTTTACCGCCATCCTTTGTAGTATCATTAACTGTTCTCCAGGCGAGTCTTTCGACAAATTCCTCAGGATCAAAAGGATCCTGAAAAAAAAAGAAGAATAATAAATATTATTATTAATGTTTTCGTAAAATAATGGTGCGAATAAAATTGATTTCTTTCGATAATTCGTGAATTGTTTACCTGTTCTAATTCCTTCATGTATTGTTGCATCATTTTGACGATAAATTGGATGACAGGTGTGAGGTTAGAATACGTGTGGTTATAATTTCACTGTAAAAGAAAACAAAATTTAAATTAATGATAAAAGATTATATAAAAGTAGGTCAATTCCGATGGGAAGTTGTTATTAATTTTTATTAAGAATTATACATTTCATACAAATTGACTTTACTACGATCGTTCGACAGTTCGCATATCGCGTCTTGTACTTCACATAAATGTATCATATGAGAATGATTTTCTACGAAAGTATTTATTGTACAACGTAATCTTTCATTATACAGATAACGATACTGTTAAAAATGCTTGATATCGTATGTAACGTAAGGATCAGAAAATAATGTACAACATACACATGGTTTTTATTTTTGTAATTATACATCTACTTGTTACATACGTCCTCGTTATGAAGAATTCTATACATTCCTATTTGTTAATCGATATAACAAACTAATAATATTACAGTAGAAACTCGACGCAGTTTTGAAATATACTTATTCTTTTTTCATAAAAACTTTTTTTTTCTGTTAACAATACAAAAAGCGAGATTAATCGTAATTGTAATATCTGTTTTTTTTGTACAAAATATGTCTTTTTCTTCTTTTTAATAAAAATCAGAATAATATATACGATATACAAAATTGTTTTGGTATTATCATTGCATATTACGAAGTCCCACTAAAATATTCTAATTATATTAGATATTCTTTAATTAACTTGATTATAGGAAAGTAAAAAGATTCGGACTCGAGTATGTAATATAAAATAATATTAACTATTTCGAACAGTAAAGAACCGATACAAAAGAGATTTTAGCTAAATTTTTAATCTTACAAATTCTTATGAAACGAACAGCTGTATGAATATGCGCTTATTTTGTAAAAACAAGACAAACGATATCGATTATTTACCAAGCGTTCGAACACTTATCAAACGACACGACGTATTTATAATAGGCGAACGACGTTACGAACATCGCAAGTAGCACAAGTTTTTTTAAAAACTTATGTAACCCTTACAGAAGTTATCGGGTGAAACATGTATAATGTTTTTTTTTTCAATTATTCCTCGTACACATGGGTATGCTATTTGCGTTTTGTGTATTAGTGTTGAAATATTTATTAATATAATGTTATTAAATTACACTAATGAGCACTGAAAAAAGAGGGAGGCAGCAACGACGGTATGTTTCAGTACGTTATTAATCTAATTCTTGTTCGCGACAAGAAAAAGTTTGGAATAAAATATGGAAAATATGTCTGGGTAGTACAAACATTAAGAACGACCCCCTTCTAAGACAACGAAAAGAAAAAAAACCATTCAATTATACATTTTATAATTACGCTAAAAAATAAGAGTGCTTACTTTTTATAACCACGATACACAATATTATTTAATTTAATTATAAACTCGAATTGCCGTTACACGCATCGTCGCGTAAAATCAATGACTTTTGATGCTAATGACAATTTGCCTATAATCGATTTTTTTTTTGCACTAGGTATTAGCGAGTGAGTAACTATGTTCTCCTTTTTTGAAGAAAAAAGATAGAACAGAAGTTATTTTATTCAACTCTGTAATAGAGTTGGTGGTCCATAATTGATAATGCTTCACACCTCGTTTTTTTTTTTTTAATAATGTAAACTGAAACTTCCATGATTTTTGTATTTCTTCTGGTAATGTTTTCTTAAGCAGTCAAAAACTGCCACCATAAGATGTCCTTCTGTAATTAAAACGTTCGCCGTCGATATAAATGTATATTTTTCGAGTTGAGGATCTTTATGAATACGTATAAAAGAGATGCTCACTTTGGTTACAGAAATGTAGATTACATTTCTCAGCAGCATCCAGATTTAGAAGGTTCGATTGGACGTCCATGCTCTATTTTCACCTTATTTGCTGGATCGCTATTCCCACTCGATGGAGGACCTACTCTAAGTTTTATTTCCGCAGCCATTGTCATGAAAGCTTGTTCTACATTCATCGCATTTTTTGCTGATGTTTCCAAGAATGGAATTCCAAGTTGATCTGCATATTCCTGTTTCAATAATTCATACATAGAGTTACATATCCTAATCCCCTGATGTTTATCTAAAATCAGTTGTCTTACCTTTGCTGTTGTATAATCGACTACTTTCTTAGTATGAACATCGCATTTATTGCCGACCAGCAGCTTATTGACATTGTCGCAGGCATAACGATCGATTTCTTCTAGCCACTGTTTCACATTGTTGAATGTTTCTTGATCCGTGCAGTCATACACAACAATAATACCGTGTGCACCTCTGTAATAAGAACTTGTAATTGTTCTGAACCGTTCTTGACCAGCCGTATCCCAGATTTGCAATTTTATTGTTTTTCCATCTAGGTCGATTGTTCTTATCTTAAAATCTACTCCGATAGTACTGATATAACTTTCTGTGTATGTATCATCAGCAAAGCGGAGTAACAGACATGATTTTCCAACTCCTGAGTCTCCAATTAAGAGCAATTTGAACAGGTAATCACTGGAAAAAATTGATCTTTATTGCATCACATAATTGTACAAAAATATGTGCATAAATATTAATCATGGTATGTAAACAAAACTGATTTGAAAATATATATGTTCATAACAGACCGTTATAATTATTAATAAATGTTGAATGATGCTACTTAATAGAACATTTATGATTCACAACAGATGAGAATATAACATGATGTGAAAGTATAAAAAAATTTGTTGAATACACACAGAAATATGCATTTTATTAAATATTTATTTTATACAATTAAACTTAATAAGAATAACACTTTTGACAGTACTTTTGATCAAATATACATATATATGTGTACGCATATATGTGTATTTTATAATAATCGCACATAATGTAAGTTCATTATGTACACATTTACAGTATGAATGAATCACGAACAAACAAGCTTCACCACGTTCTCGTTGCAGTTGTCCGAGAATCTAATATCGACAAATTATTTCTAAAGATTTTCGACGGAAATTGTCGAACTGTCGTGGATTCGAAGCTCGTTTCAACGAGTGTAGAATGAACAAAGCACAACAGAGAATGAATTTCTGAAATATGGCCAGTGAATATAGATACGTAGTGCGGAGGGGTAGAGGGGAGGAGGTGAATCTGTCAGACAGTACAAGTTAAACAGAACTTGTTCGCGTTAACGGAACAATACGTAGGTAAAAGCGATAAAAACACGTTCGAGCGTAATCGTGGTTGAAGTTGCAACCGAAATTGATTAAATTTCACGATAGGAACATTCCTAAGATACACTTATGTCTGCGCGAAAAGAAGTTTACTCACTACTCGGGATTCATTGTGGACATGCTATGCTCAGAACACGCTCAGTGATGTCGTGTACCGTCGTCGCAGAAATCTACAAGGGAGACACAAATCCGTCGGAATCGGTAACGTGACGGTACGAATTTACTGATCACGTTCTTCAATACGAAGGAGCTCGAACAATGGCGGTCACGGTAACTCCTCCCAAACCAGCGAATGAGACGTCCACCATTGACGTAATGCCAGAATGGCAGCAGGTGCTGTTTCACTCCCTCTACGTGGACGGGACACGAGCGATTCAGACCGAACACCACGTCTGCGCACTTCTTACACAGGGTGTTCCACTAACCGTACCACGCTCGCAAACAGAGATGGTTTCTCACGTAAAAATACGAAAAAAAAAATGTAGAATAAAGCTATTTTCCATGACCTCCCTTTCGAAAGAAGCAGCCTTGACGATCTATCGCTTGTATCTTCATATATCTCTATCAATTATAAATCTCAAAAGATTTCGAGAAAAGTATCCGAGGTGTTGATAAATCGATGTAACTGAAAACGTTGTTGCAGAACTTTTGCAGTATTAATTTAGAACGTATCAAATTTTCTCGCTTTTGATCATTGAAAGTTTTGAAGTTTTTAGAATTAAACAGTGGACAAATATAACAACTACTCGGTTTCAATCCGTTATATTTGTATTTGTTTCGATATATTACGATTAAGATATTCGTAGGACTCTAACTAAATATTATTCTGAGCGTTCTATAAAAACATGTGATGTTTTCATTGAATCATGTAATGAATATTGTATATTTGATACTCGTGTTATGCGATCTACGTCTCATGAGATGATGACGTTGATGTAAACAGTGATTGACACGTGACCAAAATTTTATTGGTGCAACGTGTTGACCAATGTCGATGCAACAGTAAGGTGAAATCGCAAAGAGAAATGTACGAATGAATTTCTGATTTGTGTTACAAGTTAATACATAAACTTTGACCCCATTACAGAAGTATCTCTCAAAGTCACCTAAAAAACTATGGAAGCGATTAAAGATGCATAATGCGCATAAATCTGCGACCACGTCCTAAAGTCATATTCTCAAAATACTATGTTGATGTAATGGTTTATTTAAATTATCGTTTAGTAAATAAGCTTAGTGATTTTTCCTGGACTATACGTTTAGTGATATACATATCCATTATGCAAAAATCTTCATCACTTGAATTCTGAAAAATTTCCTTACACTGCTTGTCCTGTTGCTTGTAATAAGTCGTTTGTTCTTAATAAAAATAAACACCTAATGCGATATTATTACAATATTGTAGTGTGAGTTGTCAACAATTGTCAACATTTGTCCACACTGATTTGCATACTGCGTATATATTCATTCCTAAACCTAAATACTTTTTGTTACTTTTTGTATTGTACAGTATATATAAATATATACCTATGCATACATATGTATACCGTAGAAATTAATTCGTTTTTAATTAAATTACTACGTCGCGGTTTGTAAGTCTGTCGAACAGAACCTTTAATTGAGAGTATATATAAATGTCTTTAGGAAAACAAAATCGTTAACGCTGTAGGTGTGTAGCTGTACGGATCGCTGTTTTTAGATAAATGTGTCAGCTGTCAATTTTGATAGCACAAATACACGCGAAATCTTTTGTTACAGTGAAATTTTACTTATCGACGGTTGTTTAAATTTTATTAAGTAGTTCCGTGTACTACAAATTAGCAAATACTATTGAAATATTTATATATGTAGGCTGTATGTGTATATATGCTAAATGATTTTATTATTTCGTTGTATAGAATTATTGTTACACGATCCATTTTATCAGTGTATTACTTGTTAATTGTTTACTATTACGAACTATTATAAAATTCTTATGAGAAATTATTGTTATGATTAAGTATCATATTAAACTTATTTGTCTTTCGTTTAGTGGAGATTGCTAATGAAACTATCAGTGGTAGCAAGCAACAGTGTAAATTATTTTCATTAATGTCGTCCACGTTTGTCAAAGATGAATCTCCACCTGAATTGCTTTTTCAAAGTGTGAATGGGTGTACCCTGAAACTTGTTGATAAAAGCGCAAAGTCTAAAAATGTTATGAAATTTGTTCTGTATAAAAACACACGTTTAAACATCAATGTGACTCTCCTCTTATTATTCACAACATTGTGCTTGTGGAAACTATTTGATACATTAGTACCACTTATAGTATCCTTATTAGTTTTGGTATTGCAGTTAATTCATTTAATTACTTCTGTGAATAAAGGTTTGTTTAATGATTATATTCACTGTAAATGCGTTTGAATTATATTAATATCTATTTTTCTTTGTAGATACGCTACTAGTGGTAGAATTTATTGGTATATATACAGAAGGAAAGAAATTATTGTCTGGGTCAAGTTCTTGTGAATTTGTACCTTGGGACACAGTTGTTGATGTATTTATTAATGAAGTTATAACAGGGGTAAGTATTAAAAAATTGTTATTTTAATATATTTTTACTTTTAAGCAATTATTATAAATGAATTTCTATATGTACTTTCAGCAAAAGGTTCTGTATTATCTTACAATTATAGTGAAGGAATCGTTTGGTGGAAAGGATACCATAAAATTGATTCCTTTGTTCAGAGAATTAATACCCGAACGAAAATGCCTGGAATATATGTACGAGAGACTAGCTGGATTGATTGGATCCAACAAAGGGAAAATCCAGTTTTAACAGTTCCAAGTTCATACTGGTTATGCTATAAAAAGAACATATATAAATTTATTCTTAGATATCATCGCACTGCTCTGTAGGTTTCCTTAGCAATATACTGCTTTCAATATTATAGATTTTATAATACGCCTATTTACAGAAATTTAACACAGTTTCCCTATGGAAAGGAACTGATGAAAATAATTAGAAGGATTATAAAAAATCAACCGCGTCAAGGGCAACAATTTAGCACGAGTAATCTTTTAGTTACTTACAGTATCCTTTTTCTGAATTCAACATACCTATTAAAATATTTCATTTTTACTTTTATATTATTGTAAGTTTCTTAACTGTCACGTACAACGAAGATCATACATCGTGGACACGGCAGGATAAAATGTTCGCACTAATGAAATTTAAAGAACGATCTGTTTCAGCATTTTCTCATGCCTTTGTTCTTACTATTAAAATAATGTTGCCTTTGGAAAGTATAGAACAGACTTCAAAAAATAATCGATTAAATACTAGTTCTAAAATTGACAATTTTACAAAAACATCCTCCAACAAACAAACAAGCTGTGTACAATCAAATAAGTTAATAAATAGTCCTAAAGCATCACTTGAACCATCTGTACCACACAATGATTTATCTGAAACTAAAACAAAAGCAAATAAATGTTTAAAAAACTCAATTGTAATATTACAAAACATAAATAAGAATCAAAGTAGAAGTGGTACAAGTTCAAAATTGCCAAATAGTACTGCAAACAAAGTTGATGAAAATAAAATAGCTGCTGATCGATTGGAAGAATCCAATTGTTCAGTAGATGAAAATATGCAAGATAAAACTGTTGGTAACAACAATATTACTGCTTCGAATATTAACAAAATATCGGAAGATAGTAATACTGTTGATGCTACTAATATCGATTCTATCAATTTACCATATCAATACCTGATAGAAAGAGAGATAGAAGATGCAAAACGTAAGATGTTAGACGACGAAGTTTCTTCGAACGAAACGAAGAAACGTAAGATAAAAGAAATAGATGAACATTCCACAAATTCTGTAAAATCACTTACAGATATTGCACAATCCGAAGAAATACATTGTCAGAAAAAAAGGAAACATTTAATAGAGAATATCCAATCACGATCTTCTGATATTACAGATTTAGTAATGGAAGGATTAATGTTCACAATTCGGCAAGAGCAAGATGCTGTAGCAGTTATAGAACAAAAAACCAAATTAGAGATAGATGAGGTACTGGAAAATTCGGAGAAAATTGAAACGAAAGAGGGAGAAAAATGTTTACGAAATTCTAGTTTGCTTGGATTAGAAAACTTAATAACAATGATCGAATTACCCAAAAAAATGGAAAATAAATATAAAAGTCCGAATATAATTACACCTGAATCGAAAAACATGCAAATGCAAACTTCTTCAAGTGTTATCAATGACGATAAGAAGGACAATGTTGCAAATAATAGTTCATATCTTGAAATGTATGAATATAAATGCAATGAGAACATGAATATTACTGAGAATGATGATGCAGAGTACGAAGAGGAAGAGGATATTATCCCCGAAGCATTACAAGATGATATCTTTCGACCTTCGTTACTCGATTACGAAGAAATAGATCGAACTAAAGATAAATTAGAGGTTATGATTGATAAAGATTTATTAATGGATGATATAGATACTGATGAATTAATCAAATCTGAAATAACAACTGAACATAATTCCCCTTGTAGGAAAGACTTAGTATCAAAGATCAATGTAAAAACTAGTTGCTCGAATAATAGTTTGGATGTCAATCATACATCGACGTTTAATAATGCTAAAAGATTGAATGTTCCAGTAGTGATTTCGAACGAAATTATCACGGTAGATCAAATACCAAGATCGTTACAAAAAATACTTAAAAAACAGTCACCAATAAAGAATAATGAAAAGGAAATGGATGAAGACTGTACGAACGTTCATAAAATGCAATCATATGAGGAAAAAGATTCTGCTTCTAAGATTGAGTCAAGTGGACACAGTTCGAATCAGATGTTTCAAAATACACTAAATTTAAACAATTCTGAGACTCTTGTTCATACTGATGAAACTCATGAAAATAAATTAAAATTAAAAAAGGAAAAATCACCTGAACAAATTACAAACACTAGCAAAGCGGAACAATTATCATCGAATGAAATAGAAGACATTACAGACGAATTTTATCAAGAACTTTTACTTGTTCAAAAGAAGAAGAATTTGCCTAATCAAAGATATCTAAGACCAAGAAGAAAATCCCTAAATATGCTATCGAATACAAATCTCGGTGACACACATATAGAAATAATGAAATTTTTTCATGATATTACAAGAGGTGCCAAGGTTGTCGTAAAACGTATGAGTACAAAAAGTATACACAGTATAATAGAAAAAAGTTCCTCTTTAGCAACATGTATGCAATAAGAATAAGTTTTTAAATAAGAATTCGAAAATGTCATGCATGAAATTGTATTATTTATCTTTAATTCAATTTGTATATTAATATTAAGCAATTAATGGTGTACTAAAATATGAAATATTAATGAGAAATACATGTATAACGTTATATTTAAGATTTTATTACTTGAAAAACATAAATTTAATTTTTCAATAGTTTATTAATCTCGGACATTTTTTCACGATTAACTTGTTCTGCAACAGCTTTCAAATTATTCAATTTACTCGCAATGTTTTGCAATCTACAATCCAAGTGCTCAAAAGATCCTGCTTCTTTCTGGTAAAAATCAATGTTGAAGTCTGCTCTTTGTTTTAAGTCGGATGGTTTATCCATTATATTTAATTTCGGACATACTTTCGTCATCTGGAAAGTCCAATACGTTATGAAAAGATGTGGCATGTCCGTTAGTTAGACGTGACAATATTACGAATACATCGAGAACATAAATTACGTGAATATCACTTTGAAGTTGGATAGATTTCCTAAACTCATTAACGCATCGTAATGGATATCGCTCTCTGGCGTCGCATAATTCGAACAGTGCGTCCTCGCATTGTTCTTCAAGATCATCTAAAAACAAACAAATTCGAATGTTACGTGACTTCCTTTTCTGCGTATATGTCGTTACTAACCTATTTTCGACATTGTTTAATTCGTACACTATTTTAATATCATTTCTATTCATTCAAAACTGAACGAGTTTATTATTTAAATATGTCATACTAAATTTTCAGTTTATTTTTGTACACGTAGCGACATCTATTAGGTTTAATATCAGTGGTGCCATCGGTGGCAAAACGCCTAAGCTTTGTGGAAAAATTTCACGTTGTTTCTTTAAGATGGCGCCATTGATAAAGAACTGATTTAACATAGTGGCGCCATTAATGGCAAAACACCTAAGTTTATAGTGTATATAGTCTAACATTTATTTTATTAATATGTAGCAAATATTAGCATTTCATATATTTATAATTTGTTATCTTCTTTGCTATTGCATAACTTTTTTTATTGTATTAGAACATCTTATTTAATAGCTCTGTAAAATTGATTTTTGGTATTTTAGATATTCTAAACATGTTCGAACGATTCCATCCCTGACGACCTCATCCTCCGTCTTTATTTCGTAAATTTAATAAAATTGTTTTCGTTTGAATCGTAACAGTGTTAGAAATAGAATTTTGGTTAGAATAGGACTTGGACTACATTTTCGAGTCGAAGAAAGATCTCACGTTTCAGGTGACGAGGCTTATCCCCATTTAACAAGCATCGCTTTTAAAGCGTATCATTCATGCCCCCCTTTCCACAAAGTGTACGCAGCTGCACTTTAGGATCCTATACATAGCAGCATCGTTTACTCGGGGGGTGCGCCTTTTTCGAATCTAGCGCGACAGATATCTTCGATCCGTCTCGACCGTTATTGGCCAAAGGACACTCACTCCTATAAGGGATCGTTCACAAAAGACGAATTGTTATTGAGAAGGTACCATTCGAAAAGACGCCACAGTTGATACTTAAACCAAACAAAATGACAAAATTTCTTCGAGATCGAAGAATGTATACGAAGAACTTGACTAGAATTTCTATCCTTTAGAACCCACTAGAACCTTAGCATTCCCAAATGAGAGCTCAAAGTGGACACTTCGTTGCAGTTACACAATGGATCCAAGCAGGGCCGGCGTTAGGGCGGGGCGCCAGATTTTTGGGGACGTCGCAGTCCGGTGTAGATTAGTAAAGCTGCTATTGTACATTGTAGTTTAACAATCTTTACAATCTAGCTACAGATTCATCGTTTGATATCATTACCTTGTCTTCTTTTCTTAAAAATTTTAAGCCTCTGAAGGGGCGCCACGATAATCTTGCCCGGGACGCCAATATTGCTAAAACCGACCCTGGATCCAAGTAGATTCGCTCCTGAGCTTCGTAGTGTGAACGGTTCGTAAAGTTCGTAAAGGTGTAACAGTGTGTATCGGTGGGGCCGGTGGCGTTAGGGGAGGGGGATCTAGCTCCATACACGCAACGTGCACATCTACAGTAGTACAGTACCGTACGGCGCGTTACGTGTGCGAGTCAGTGGTTTTTCAATGATGCCTTGGTGATGATGGGATTTTAACGTACGAACGCTTCCAAAAACGTAAAGGTAGGTGAGCCAGTCGCTACAGTGATCGAAAAAGCAACGTCTCGGTGACATACGTCGAAGATATCGGCCGTGAATTTCGTGAAACAAACGGGAACAGCGTCGAGCGATCAATGTTGGTTCGCGGGTGTGCCCGTTTCGTTTGCCCAGCCCCGCGTGTGCTCCCTTTTTTTCCCCCCTTTTGCTTTTCCTCAGGAGAATTCGTTTTTTTTTCAGATCGACACCCAATCGAGACGATCCCCTTAAACGTTCCACGATCGATTAAACAGGTAGCGAAGAGTCGTTCGGCTCGGGCGATGGTGAAAATTTTCGTTTCCGTTAGCGATGTTGTGATTTCGAAGGACAACTACGGTGAGATCATCGTGACACCGTCACCTGTGCGCGAACCATGTAACAATTCTGGGTTCACCCTGCATAATTCTTTCTTTTTCTCTCTATCGTGACGAGAAATTAGTATTCCTAAGGTCTATGGTGTTCCTAAGCTCCGACGCGATTAGCCGGGCACGCTGACACATGTCGATCTATACGTTTGCCCGTCGCTTTTGCTTTATTTTTTTTTTCTCGCGGAGAGCACGCCCATTTTTCGCGTCTCCATTGGCAACTGTCGTCCCGTAACATTTTCACCAGATTTGAAAATTGCATTCGAAAGCTCCGAATCAATTCTACATATATCGGTTTAACAGAGATACATAGATCGAATTTTATTCCGAATAAATTGGTAGCAAATAGAAATCGCGTGACGCTATGCTCGTTTAGTCGATTGAACAGTTATTCCGACGATCTACGTTGTTTTCTTGTTGCTACAGCTCAATTCCGCTTTTACGCAACCATTTTTATACCTATTTATTCATTTGCTGGTTGTACGATTCCGATTATTGCGGAAGTTACGCGCTAATTGTTCATTCTTTATTTGTTATTCGAAACTTATTCGAAACTTCGTATCTACGTGATTATTTTACTCGTCTGTTTTGACATTTCGATTCGTAAGTGTGTGTACGCCGGAAGTAGATAAAGTCTCATCGAATGCTCAGCGATTCATTCGTAATTATAAAGTTATTGTATAAGTTAAATTCCAATGTTTATTTATAAAATCGTATTGGTCGGTTTTCTTTAAGGTTTTATATCTTAGCATGATCCATAAAGACGAAGAAAATGTCGCGAATAGGATTTGAAGAGCGATGATTTCATTCGTCGAGTTCGTTTGAACCGTGGGAAGATTCAATAGATGAATTTCCGGTTTGAGAGCAGTATCTAGTGCATTGTATTTTCGAAGTGAAATGAATCTAGAAGCTCGATTTCGTTCGAAGTTTCTCGTTCCTACGGTGATATTTTTCATGTTCAACGAAAAATAATCGACGAACGTAGAAGCGATAATTGTAAAAATATTCTCGATTAAATAATCATTAAACTTCTCTATATTCACGATTTATATTTATCACTTTCCATTCGTGGAAGAAAGAGGAAATATTATTGAGAAATTGTTCGATATTCCGTTTGCTTTTTGTGTTTCAAAATCGGGGGCCCGCACGCTGTGTACACTCGTAGTTACGTCACTGTTACGTGCGAATTCTCGACGCTACGATAAAATGCATTCGTGAATTATTTTTTGGAAAATATGAAGACAGTCATTTTTCTATTTTTAGATCAAGAAAATACTGGCTGATCATGAAGTTCGTCGTGTGCATTATCTCCACGTTGGTACTGCAGACATCGGCTATAAGTGAGTATACTTTCGTTGTTTCATATAGGTCACCATAAATTGGAAGCAACACTCGTTACGACTGATTCAGTTTTTATAACTGTATTTGATTTTTAATTATAGTTCGTATCCTGGACGTTATAGGAGGTGAAAATTATAAAAATTGCCAGAGACGAATAGATAGACTTGCTTACTTCTAATTTGATAGATGAATAGTTTAATTTTTCATTAAATTATATATATATAGAAACATAATGCTACAACAGAATTTGCAAGAGGATAGTTTTATGCTTTTATTACTATTGCTTAGTTACAGTGTATAAAATTAAAAGCTTATATTATTCTGAGAGAGTATTTTGATTTCACTTAATTTCTTTACTTTGCAGTACATTAATTGAGACAGTCCACTCACAGAAAGCATTACTTCAAAGTGTATCAAATTATATATGTTTGCCATTTGTATCTTCCATTAGTTCAATCTCCACCACGGATATCCAAACAGCCCCCTACAGATGAGCAGCTGTTTCAAGTGGCCCAAGCAAGCATTAATGAGAATGACAAACCATTTTTAATTGAATGTGAAGCAGAAGGAGAACCTGCTCCGAGGTAAAGTGCATCTCAAACTAAATAAATATATATTAAAATAGCAATTTTTCTAATTTTCGTACAAAGATTTCAAGCTACTTTCATTTTAATCTATTAAAGTTGCTTGTAAGAAAGTAGTAATTTTGTAGGAAGTTTTAATTACGGAATAATGCAATGTTAAGATCACAATTTCCTCCAAGATCCCATTCATGTAGTTTCATTGCACTTGTGTTTAAGTGCACTATCTCTGTCCTGCAAAGAAGCCAGAGTAACTGGTCTTAATTACAAGGATGACCTCATAGCCTTAGGGGGTATAAAGTTACCAGTACCGATAAAGATACCTTACTTGTGGTGTGAATTGTAGATGCATGGGAGTGGCTTGGAATCAAAATAAATGATTAAACATAGAAATTAAAGAATATAGATTTTTTTTAATACTAGTGAAACTCGTCACATAACCGTTTCTAATTTAATCGTTTATTTAAATGTTGAACTGTACTTATGGAAACTTCATATTTCGTTTAGGTATCGCTGGATTAAAAATGGAAAGAACTTCGAGTGGCCAGCGTACGACGACCGCATCTCTCAACAGCCAGGTAGAGGTACACTGGTGATCTCGAGACCACGCGATGAGGATCAAGGCCAGTACCAGTGCCACGCAGAAAACGAATGGGGAATAGCGACTTCCAATT